GTATCGCTCAGCTGTTTCTGTTAATTCTGCGCCTGCTCTGCATTTGTTTCTGGGAGAGGTGAAAGCGCTCGGAAAGTAGCCGAAACTGTGGTAAATGCCAAGAGGAACTACCCGCTGGCACAAGGCTCTTAATAGCCCCTTCATTCAAAGATTGCTTAAAATCAACCTGATGGCATAAGCAAACTGCGGAAAATAAAGTTTTATCATCAAAGAGTTTTATCAGTCAGCTTTTGTCAAAGTTACACTACTGGGATCAGTTCGAAGCACCTTCACTTCTCATAAACAATAAAACGCGAGGGAAAGGTTTGGCCTAGGTTCTATTAAAAGCACACTCAAACTGCCAGAAAAACGAAAACTGAAGCACGTGGCAGAAGCGGGTGTTTCTGAAAAAAGTTTCAGCGTCTGAATAAGGGAGCCAAGCTCATCAGTTGTTATCTGCTGAGCAAAGGCTGCGTAGCTGCGGATTTTCTGCTATCTGACTAAATTGTGTTCAGAAAAAGTTTGTAAAAATTGAAATTCGTGCTGTTACTACATGCCTGCCCGACCCCGCTCTATATATTGTTTTTCGGCTTGTTTTTCAAGCATAAATTAAAATATGATTCTGTGATCCCGAAACACAGGAATACGTCACTGATTTCCAGTTTCTGGTCCTGTGACCCATAATCTAGACCAGAAATCTGGGTATAACATAGTTTCTACGATTTTTTGGCTACATACAAAAACAAAAAGATGCATATTATGGCGACCCATTGTGTGCATGTGGGCGCGTGTGTGGGTGTGCGCGGGTATGTGCTTGTAGGTGTGTGTGTGCGTGTGTGTGTGTGCAACCGGTTATTTTAACTCGAAAACCAAGCAAGCTTCGACGCTGAAATTTTACCAGTGATTTCTCTGACCAAACGTTACCGAGGAATGTGGTACCAGCCTTTAAGCCCAACGTGCGAGCCTGTCGCGGTTTTAGCGAAAAACTGCTACCTCGGGAGCTAAAAATTTGGGAGGTTGAAGTTTTAAGACGAAAGGTTGAAGTTTTAAGACGACGTGCCCTGTTCAATTACAGCTTAAAGACTTCAAATTTAGCTCGCAGGCGTGGTTCTCAAATACAGGACACGACCAATATTCGGTCACATCTTATTGTCAAAAGCGAATACATTTTTGTGGATTTCGTTATCCTTTCCGACGTGTTGTTCATTATGAAATTTGCATTTCTCGACCACCCATCACTGAATAAATTTACGGCAACCATGCGTTCAGAATTCATGCAGCCCAGTGGTTCAACTGCTTCCCAGGCAAATGCCGGATACGATGAGTTGGCCCTCTGCCAGTTCGAGGATTGATGCGCTTTACATGCCATTCACGTGAATGCCATCCATCAGTGTATTTCATTTGCATACCTGTTTTCGAAGGCTAACGATTGATGCGTGAACTGGATATGCGGAAAGCATCTTTTGTGTCATCGAAAAATTTGTATTTTGAGCTCATTTCATTAGCAAATGATGCGTAATGTGTGTGTGTATGTGCGTGTGTGTGTACTGTGTGTATGTGTACATGTGCGTGTGTGTACATGTTATTTTAAAATTTCGTACACAAAAAACATACGAAATATACGTATATGTGTGTTCTGCTATATATTTGTTATATATCTAGCATATATCAGTAAATCTGTCACTTTAACAGAAACTTTCGTTTCAGCATGAAAAAACATGAGCAGCTGATAACGGCGCAATGTGCTTTATTGTAAC